AAGTAATGAAGCAATGACAAGCCCATCAAGAATATAATCTAAACGGAGAGTAGCCCCATTAAAGCCACTGGTTAACTTGGCACAGGTTTAAGGCTGTTATGAGTGGCAGCAGCAATTATGTGCCTCATATTTTCAGATTAAGGGAGCTGGTTGAGCTTGAGACTTCCTGCAGCTTTCTCTGCATCTGACTGAATGCACAGAAGAGGTTCCCAGAGGATAGACTGGGGGAAAGGCAGAAAAAAACTTATTAATTTGGGTATTCCTTAAAGCATCAGCCTGGAGCAGCCACAGGCCACATTGCTTTTATTTAACCAGGAGCTGGAGACACACCCAGGACCACCCCAGGCCTGTGGGACCAGCTGTCTGCAATTTTTACAGGTGAGTACTGAATATATAACTGAAATACTCATGTGCAGGGACACCCTGTGTCTGGAAATCAAGCTATCTATAAGCAGCAGAAGAAAAATGAGGTTTCCCCTCTCCATGACCAGCTTCCCCACATTGAACTGCAGTCTTGAGGTGCATCACTGTGGAGCATTAACCTTCTCTTTGACCACAGCCATTTGCCAGTCCTTCTGCAGCCTCCTTGTGCAGAAAAGCATCCAAATAACATCCTCTTGCATCTGACCAGGATAAATAAGCTGTTTTTATGGCAGGAGCAGGGTGGTGTGTCCTTGTGAGGAGTATCTGGCTTGGCTGCCAACAGCCCTGCCCATGTCAGGTAAGAGACTCTGGGCACAGGTTCCCCTTCCTGAGGGTCCCTCCAGCAGAAACACGTTAATTAGTGTACTTAAAAGTTAGTAAAACCTTCCACAGCTGGGAAAGTGGGATAGCAGAGGCCTCACTTGTTCATTAATTTGTCATATGTGCTTCACCTTCATTTGTTCTTGGCAATGTTTTGCATAAGCACACACAGGTTTCCGAGCTGAAAACATGCTGGGAAATGTTGGGGTTACTCTATGCAAATAAAACACCAAATCAGCTACACCAGCTTTAGGGCTTCACGTCCTTTCAGAGCTCATACACCCACTCATTTATTATTCTATTTGGAAAGTCTTTCATGGTACTCAGACTTTCTCCCTCTGGGGGAAATCAGCACATAGCAAAGGCAGGATTAGAGCAGTAAACATATTCAAGTGAAGTCCTGTTCTACTGGTTTAATTGCTTTGGGGTGAAGCCATGATTTGATGGAGGATCTATTTGCTGGAGGATGTATTCAAACAAATCAGTGAGTTACTATGGCTAATTTTAAGGGGTATCATTTTCAGAGGTATCATTCAGCTTCTTTCTGGTTAGAGGGAGGAGAGTATGGAACACACTGCACAGCTCTGTGTGAATTGTATTGATGCACTTATTTACTACTTATTTAATAGGTCCAATGCTGGACACATGCTATTGAACACTTTTTTTCAAATTATCATTTGAGTCTTGCAGCCTGCAGAAATCATTGCAGATAAAAATTCTCTTAGACAGTTTCTTCTAGTTTCTTCTTTTTGCCAGCTGCCGGGTGATCTGTCTACTCTTGTGTGCATCACGGACTCTAATTATCAGACCTAACCCTCAGATCACTGGAATTCACTTCATTGACAGGGAACAACAACTGACAATGCCATCTCCAGTCTTTTTTTAAACATGCCTAGGGATGGTGATTCCATCACCCAATCACTCCTTCAGTGAATTTTGGATGTATTCAAACAAATCAGTGAGTTACTATGGCTAATTTTAAGGGCAAGTTTCAGAGGTATCATTCAGCTTCTTTCTGGTTAGAGGGAGGAGAGTATGGAACACACTGCACAGCTCTGTGTGAATTGTATTGATGCACTTATTTACTACCACATCCCAAGTCCAGAGAGGCAATATAGCATTAATAAATTATTTTAGCAATAGGTCCAATGCTGGACACATGCTATTGAACACTTTTTTTCAAATTATCATTTGAGTCTTGCAGCCTGCAGAAATCATTGCAGATAAAAATTCTCTTAGACATTTTCTTCTAGTTTCTTCTTTTTGCCAGCTGCCGGGTGATCTGTCTACTCTTGTGTGCATCACGGACTCTAATTATCAGACCTAACCCTCAGATCACTGGAATTCACTTCATTGACAGGGAACAATAACTGACAATGCCATCTCCAGTCTTTTTTTAAACATGCCTAGGGATGGTGATTCCATCACCCAATCACTCCTTCAGTGAATTTTTTTTTTCCTGGCATTTAACCTAAACTTCCCCTGGTGCAGCTTAGAACTGTGTCCTCTTGTTCTGTCAGTGGCTGCATGGGAGAAGAGACTGACCCCACCTGACTTCAACTACTTTTCAGGGAGTTGTAGAGAGTAATAAGGAAACCCTGAGGTTTTCCTGAAGAAACCCCAGACTGGAGTAGATTTTGACCCTGTGGAGCAGTGAATCCTGTGCCAGGATGTGGGAATTCTTGGAGCAGACTGTGGAGATCTAACACTGCCCAGAATGTCACCTTGGAGAACCCCAGGGGAGGGGAAGGTGGGGAAGGACCCCTGGGGGTGCAGGGGAGGAGGTTTGGGAGGTCACCATTCCATGGTGGCATCATCTCCCAGGGTTTGGTCCGTCTCCTGCTGGTCTCACAGTACTCCCACCATCTCCCAGTATTCCACCATTATCTCCCACTGGTTCCAGCACCTCCCAGTGGTGGGGAGACTGTCTCCTGCTAGTTCCACCACCATCTCCCAGCAGTCTCACCATCCTCCCCTGATCCCACCCCTCCATTTCTCCTCCCAGGACCTACTTTGACAGCAGCCACAGCCCCCCCAGTCCTCCCATGCCCCCTGAATGCCAGCCACCAGCTGTTGGTGCAGTATAAAAACAGAGCAGCACACGGGTCCCAGGGTAACTTTATCTGGTGGTAAAACTTCCCCTTTTTCTCTTCCCGGGACCCCAGTCGGGGGGACAAAGGAGCTTATATCTGGGGGCAGGTCTCAGGGGAGGGTACAATCTTTAACAAATCAGGAGAATTGGGAGTGAAAAACCAGGCGGGGATTACAATGTGTAAACCAATAAAAATCCCAAGTGAGGAGAACAGTTTCAGTAAACTAACAGAGTTTGGAGAAATAGCACCTAATAACAGGAGAAGTGACGAAAATTCTGAGAAAAGGTGGGAACAAAAAGGAAACAGCATAAAGAAATTACCAGATTACAAATCAAACAATAAAGCTACTAAGAAAACAAAAAATTACATCACAACAGAGGAGGCATGAAGAAAGAAAAAAAAACAAAAAACAAACAGTCTCCATTTACAATTGAAACCCAGCCCAGCCTCATCTGGAGCCACTTTTGTGGTGAAATTTGGTTAATTCCTTTGCATTCTTTGCATTCTTCTTGAACTCCGAGAGTGTGCTCATGTGAGAGTGTTGTGTTGATTTGGGTTTTCCAGCATATCAACATGAGGATGCCCGTGATATAAAAATTCATCTGCTGAGAGAGTGTTGGAGCATAACTGAATGTTTGCTGGTGTTTTGGAGTTGCTTTAGTTTTGTGTGCATGGCTGAGATCGCATCTGTGGACTTGAAGCACCCTCTTGTGTCAGTTTTAGTGATTGCCGGTTTGGCAGTCTTCTTTCTCTTCTCCACTCCCCCTTCCATTACAAACCCAGAAATACCATTATAACTTTCAGAGATAATAGCTTGTATATTTGGAATTATTGAAAATGGGGCCGGTTTCTTCTCAAACTAAAGTGGGAGCTTTCAGTTCTCCATTGAAATATATGTTGAAAAACTGGAAACAGACTGGAGGAGACCCACCAAGCAAACCTAGACTAATCCAATATTGTCATCAGTGGTGGCCAGTATACCAGCTAAACTACCAGGCTGAGTGCCCAGAGAATGGTACCTTATTTTGGGGAGGGAGAGAGGGAAATGGAATGAATTGCCTTATGTGGATTTATTATTTTGTTTGGAAAACCATCTGAAACTGCAAAAGGAGCAGCCAGTTTTGGGGTGAACCTGGGGTAAACAGAAAGTCTCTCATGGCCTGGTAAGGGTAAAGTACCTTTCTCTTCCAATCGATCTTGAGGTATGGGTGAGATGCCTCACCTCTTCTTTATAGAGAAGATCTGAAGAGACTACCTAAAGTATTTGAAAACATTCTGGAGACCCAGACTGACTGGATATACAGGTTCTGCTAGATAATCTGGTCGATTATATGATAAAGAGACAGTACTCCAGACTACTAGGAGGGAGGTGAACAGTATAGACACAGAGGGCAAGCTACCACCAGGAACTGCTGAAGAGCACTTTCCCCCCCTGGACCCCCACTGGGACCCCAATACCAGGGAAGGGAAGGATTTCCTGGGACAATATCAAAAATTCGGCTTTGAACACGCATTGCCAAGGCAAATCAATTGTTCTAAACTTTATGAGGTGAAATAAGAACCTCATGAGACTCTAAGTGCATCTGCAGGATGCCTAAGGGCAACCTCCAGGATATACACTAATATTGATCCAGAAAAAACAGAGGAAGGAAAAGAAACAAAAAGAAACAGGCCAAACCCACAGAGCAATAGTATCTCTAGTCAGAGAAACCAGGTGCCCAGCCATCCAAAAAGCCTGCCCAGAAGAAAGGAGCTGCCCCTCACTCTGCCCCCAGCTCTTGCTGGATACCCTGGACTGGCTCTCACTCGTCCTGATGATCCCAAAGTCTGGGGGACTGGAGGGGGTAGGGTCAGTGACCATCCCAGACACAACAAAACAGAAATTGTATGAAATAAAAAAAAATCCCAGGACAGTAATTTTTCAGGAAAATTCACAATACACAAGAAATGGGTGTTTTTCATACTATCACAAAAGAAAATTTATTTCCCTTGACAACATAAAATTTCCCTCAAAAAACTTTTCATTCTGATGCATAATTTAGAAAGCTGACCACTATGACAGATTTGCCCTCTCCTTCAATACTTTTGTTCGGAAGACACAAATCAGCAGCCTGATTACAATGTGATTCAATCACAGTATTGACCTTTGAAATACAGAGTAAACTACTCATCATCATCAGAAAACTGCAGTATTGCTAGCGGCTCAGTGTCAGGCTCAGCAGCAGCAAGGCCTGTAGAGAAGAAGGGAAGGAATTTGCCTTCCTGTCTGCTGCCATCAGCAATACTCAAAGTGTACAAAGCTACTGCCTTAAAGACATCATAAAAAGAAACCTTCTTGGCTGGGATGTCCAAGAAGATGCCAATCTGTGACAAATAGCCAGTCACAGTCAGACAGGTCCAAGGATTCGTGCAGGCCAAATAATCTTGCCCATCCACACATGCGATAACCCAGAAGCCATTCTCAGGACACAGAGTCAAAGTGCCTTTGCGAGTCACAGATTCACAGGCAATGCCCAAGGCCCAGTTTTTTCTTGTCCCAACATTTACTTCCCAATAGTGTTTCCCGGAAGTATATCCTTCCTTTGCCAACACAAACAGATGGGAATCAAATCTCTTCTCGTTTCTGAGCAAGAATCTGATGACACCAGTATCTTTCACTGTCCTCCCATCTGCAGAGATTTCCAGTCTGGGATGAGCTGTGTCAGCATCCAGGATGACATCTCCTGCAATGGTCAAGTCAGGCCATGAGGAGCAGAAAACACAAGCTCTGCTTTTCCGAGCCTTTCCTTTCTCTGCCTTCATCCCCCTCTCACCTGTCCTTCCCTCCCTCCATGCTCAGCAGCCTCTTGTCTTAGGACACCTCAAGCTTCTCCCTCCACTCCTGCCCTGTCCCTTCCTGCCAGAGTGGCAGCCAGCCCACACCAAATGCCAGGCACTCCTCCAGTGCTCCTGGGACTGCAGCAGGCAGCTCCAAGGAGGAGGCTGTGCTGCTCAACCTTCTCTGCCTCCATCTCTGCATTGCTGGCGGGGGGTGGCCTGAGGAAAAGGACCAGGAGTTGGCCACAGCTGGAATTAGGTTTGGCTGCCAGCAGCTGTAGGTTTGGATTAACTCCTTGCCAAAATCTGAAGGGGATTTTCAACTTTTAAGCACTTTTTTCCTCAACAACAGGAGACCACCAGTGTATGATACTGCTTGCACATGGATTAGAGTGGAAGAGTGGTCTGCAGTACCACAAGGATAAGGGAATGTTTCCTGCCTCAGCTTTCTACATGCATCAGAGGATGGGAGGAACCTCTGGTAGGACTCAAGCAAGGTGCAATGTCACAAACTGAGGTCCTCTAGCTCAATTCTGATGGAAAGGAGAAGGAGCTGCTCCTGTTGTGGAGCAAGATCAGCTCCAGACACTTTTCCTGAGAGGCCCAAGAGCCAAATCAGAAGTGGGAGCTGGAGCTGCAGTGGCCGGTGCAAGCCAGCTGTGCCTGCTCCCCACAGCTGAGAGGGCTCCTGACAAACACAGGCAGGGCCTTGGGCACCACAACAGTGAAAAAAGTCATCCAACCACCCTTCCCTGAGTGTGCTCTTCTCCAAACAGCTATTTGAGGGCGTTGGGTGTGTTTTCCAGAGCTGCACTCGGGCTCTTGAGTACTCACTTCCTCACCTCACTTATGCTTACCTTTGTAGGACCGTAGGACTGGAAGGTCTGTGGGAAAGGAGAAAAGCAGGAAGTAAGTGGATTTGTCAAGGCTTGCTCTGGCAATGAAACAAAATTGGCCAACTCTCCCCCTGCGGTGACAGTGAGGCCACTCTCATGCTCCCCTACTCTGACACTGACAGTATGGTCAGACACAAGGCTCTGAGTGTTGCTGGGGTGCTGACAGCACAATCAAACAGAACAGGATCGAGGGTATCTCTTACACATGACACCCAGCTCTCTCTCCTTCATGACACTGATGCCACGCCCATGATCTCCTACTGCCCCACCACACACACACATACACACTGTTTATTTAACCAGTTCTACTCTCATTTCATCAGACTCCCAGAGAAAACAGTACATCAAGGTGTGTGATAATTTTGTTTTCCAGACATGAGGCATGTGGCTCCAACTTGCTTTCTCTGAGGCCTCTGAGAGGAGGACTAAAATCTGCTGTGATATGAGCTCAGCCTCTCTTTCCTTTTCAGATGGGAAAGAGAGGCCAGAGGAATGGCCAGACCCTAAATTAAAAAGGAGATAGGCTTTCACAGAGAAAGACTTGCCAGGAAGCAAAGGTGACCTTCCTGCACCAGTTACCCCTGGAGACCCTTGTCAAAGTGATTGAGCACTGCTGGGCCAGGGGGAAGAGGAGCAGGGCTTGCCCAAGGCCAGAGCCCCTGCATTTCATCTGGGACTCTCACACTCCTGGTGGTCCTTCCCTCCCTGAAGTGTCCAGCTCCCAGTGTTCTGGGGCACATGGGCTCTGGAAAAAGGAGAACAAAGACCCTCCCAGCTCAACAGAACTGGTTTGGATGGATTGACTGCTGGAGGGCTGGGGAAAGAGCACAGGACCTGTGAGCTTTCCCAAAGGCTTGGGAAAGGCCTAATGGGCAGGATGGAGGGTTGGGATCAGCCCCCTCCATCTCTCCAAACAGCAGCTATGGGCTGTGGGAGAGAACAATGTTTGTTAAGAGGAAGAGAAGTGGGGAAAGCAAGAAGACAATACTAAGGCATGGAGGTGGGCTCCTTTACCAGATATTGAGTCATAGAGAGCACACACTACACATTCCTTTCAAAGACAAGATCATGAAGAGGAACCTTGACCACGTGCAGCCATCATCTCAGTGTTCAGGTGTCTTCACATGTGCGGACACAAGAGCAACTTGCCAAGAAAATCTGTCCCTCTCCATCTGCTTTGAGGAGCTGTGTACAAGAAGCTCACAGGACAATTTGCCTGTAAAGAAGCTTTTCCCTTCAGAGAAATAAAGTTCTGCTGGAAAAGGCCTTGCTCACCTAAGTCGTATTTTGTGGACCCCAATGTGGTCTGCAAAGTTTTTTCCAGAGTTTTGATTTCTTGGGAGGGCTGCTGGATGTCCACCAGCTGTATGGATTCCAAGACCCTTGAGGTATTTTCCTTCACTCTCCTTCCTGTAAGAGAAGACTGGTGTCAGTGGGACAGTGGTTTTGCCTCACTTGAGATGAGGTACGGTACCACAAATTACACTGGACCTTTCTTCTTAGAAAGGACCAAAAAGATGCTGTGCTTTCACTCCTTCCAAATGTGATGGAGAGACAACGAACCTTTACTGACTGCCAGCCCCATTTCACCATCAAAGGTGTTCCACTGTCAGGGGACAAAAGAGCTGCTCCCAAGGAGGTTCTGCCCCATGCACCCACTCGGAGGAGGCAAAGAACTAGCTCACAGGACATGTGTAAAGCAGCTTCTGCCTGCTGAGAGAAGAAGGCCTGCTGGGGAATGGCCCTGCTCACCTAGTTCATTCTTCATGTCTGCTCTTATCATCTGCAGCTCACACTGCGTGGACCGCTCCATCTTCTGGAATGCTTCCTGCAGAGTTTGCATTTGTTGGGAGAGCTGCAGAAGGTCCTTCTTCCACATGGATTCCATGGTCCTTGCATTTGCCTCCACTGTCCTTTCTGTGAGGAAAGAACCATCTCACTGAGCAGTCTCATTGCGGTCTCGAGGGGGAGACCAGCAATCCACAATCACAATGCCTGAAAGCTCTGATTTAAACTCTCTGCCAGAGCATCTTTCCTTAGGACTCCCCTGCTCCCTGTGGATCTCCCTAAAGGCTTGACCAAGGCCTGCTGGGCAGCACTGAAGGCAGCACTGACCCCAGTCCATCTCTGCAGACAGTGTGAAGCAGCGCTCATTGTCATGAGCAAGGTGTGGTGGGACATCCCCTACCTGTCCCTCAGACCCCACTGTGGTCCCAGGAATGTTCACTGGGTCTCAGCCCTTGTCAGTGGCTCCCAAGATTGGACATGGACCCTGTGCCTGCCCAGGGGAAAGTCCTGGACATTTGGCAGAGAGTGCTGGGTGCTGCCAGTGCCCTCCCCTGCCCCACCTCATGCACTGGCCATGGAGATGCCCCCAAGCTGAGCAGGTGAGCACGGGGTGGGGCTCGTCATGGGCACAGACACGCAGGGTGTGCGCAGCCCAGCTTCGCTTCGCCCAGCGTGGCATCAGGAGTGGGGCTGTAGCAGAAGGGCAGTGGGGAAAGGGACAGAGACGGGACAAGGGTTCAAGGGGAATCCTTATTGACTGTCAGACAGTGAGAGAACTCAAACTCTCTTCAAAGACAAGGGAGAGAAGAGGGACCTTGAGCCCCTGCAGAGAACACTTCAGCATGGAGGTGTTCCAGTGGCATGGATGACAAATCCATTACCCATGTAAGGGCTGTCCTTCCCCATCCCCTTTGAGGAGCTGTGGAGGATGTCCTCACAGGAAAGTCTGCCTGTTGAGAGAAGAAGGCCTGCTGGGGAATGGCCCTGCTCACCTAGTTCATTCTTCATGTCTGCTCTTATCATCTGCAGCTCACACTGCGTGGACCGCTCCATGTTCTGGAATGCTTCCTGCAGAGTTTGCATTTGTTGGGAGAGCTGCAGAAGGTCCTTCTTCCACATGGATTCCATGGTCCTTGCATTTGCCTCCACTGTCCTTTCTGTGAAGAAAGAACCATCTCACTGAACAGTCTCATTGCAGTCTCGAGGGGGAGACCAGCAATCTGCAATCCCTGTCCTTCAGACCCCACTGTGGTCCCAGGAATGTTCACTGGGTCTCAGCCCTTGTCAGTGGCTCCCAACATTGGACATGGACCCTGTGCCTGCCCAGGGGAAAGTCCTGGACATTTGGCAGAGAGTGCTGGGTGCTGCCAGTGCCCTCCCCTGCCCCACCTCATGCACTGGCCATGGAGATGCCCCCAAGCTGAGCAGGTGAGCATGGGGTGGGGCTCCTCATGGGCTCTTCAACTTGGAGGTGTTTCAGTGTCATGGAGCACAAAAGCTGCTTTGCCATGTCAGGACTCTCCTTCTTCACCCACTTTGAGGAGCTATGGAAAATTATTTCATAGGACTGTTTGCCTATAGAATGGCTTTTTTCTTCAGAAAGATGAAAGCCTTCTGGGGAATGGCCTATTTTACCTAGGTCATGTTTCCAGTCTGTTCTGATCATCTGAAGGTCACGCTGTGTGGTCTCATATATGTTCTGGAAATTTTCCTGTAGAGTTTGAATTTTTTGGGAGGCTTCATGGTGGTCCTTCTCCAGCCTGGATTCTAAGCTGCTTGTTTTTGCCTCCACTGTCCTTCCTGAGAAGAAAAAACATTTTCACCGGGACAAAGTCATGGTTTTCTTGAGGGAGAGACCATTGATTTTTAATGATGTTGCCCAAAAGCTCTGATAAAAAATCCCTGTCAAGACATCTCTTAGGGCTCTCTCAGGCTTCTCCTACTCCCCGTGGGTCTTCCTAATGGCTTGACCAAGGCCTCCTGGAAAGGATGGAGGGTAGGAATGATCCCACTCTATCTCTCCAGAGAGTACTCTTGGGAGATAATACTCTTTGTTTTGGGGATTGTGTGGTGTCACAGAGCACAGAAACTGTTTCCTGTGTAAGGGCTGTCTTTCCCCACCCCACCTGAGGAGATGTGGTGGACAAGTTCACAGGACAGTTTGCTTGTAGGGCAGCCTTTCCCTTCCGAGGTATGAAGGCCTGTTGTGGAAATGCTTCTGCTCACCTAGTTTGTTCTCCAGGTCTGTTCTGGTCATTTGAAGGTCACGCTGTACGGCAACCTTCATGTTCTGGAAAGTTTGCTTCAGAGTTTGAATTTGTTGGGAGAGATGCAGGAGGTCCTTCTGCCATATGCATGCTATATTCCCTGTGACATTTGCCTCCACTGTCTTTCCTGTGAAAAAAGATTGGTGTCACTGGGACAATGATTTTTCTCCCTTGAGGTGAGGTCTTGTCCCATTAATAATACAAAACTTTCCTCTTAAAAAGGAACAAGGAGATGTTCTTTCACTCCCTTCTACAACAAGGGAGAGAAGAGGGACCCTGACCATCTCCAGTTGCCACCTCAGCATCAAAGGTGTTCCAGCAGACTGGGACATCAGAGCTGTTCCCAAGGAAGTTCTGCCCATTCTGACAAAAGGCAAAGGATTAACTCAAAGGTCAGTTTACCTGTCAAGCCAGATTGACCTTCAGAGAGATGAAGGCCTGCTGGGGAATGGCCCTGCTCACCTAGTTCATCCTTCAGGTCTGTTCTGATGATGTGAAGGTCACGCTGTGTGTACAGCTGGGTGTTTAGAAAAGCTTTCTGCAGAGTTTGAACTTGTTCGGACATTTCATGGAGGTCCTTCTTCCACATGGATTCCAGAGTGTTTGTAGTATTTGACTCTATTGTCAACCCTATAAAGAAAGAACAGTGTCATTGGGACACTCTCATTACCTTCTTGAGGGAGAGAGCAGTGTCCTGACTTAAATTCACTGCCAGAGAGTCTCTTCAGGTTTTCCCTTTGAGTAATCTTGATCAAAAAAGCTATTCCCCACATGAGGATTGTACCTCTCCATCTGCTTTGAGAAGCTGTGGTGGGCAATCACACAGGACATTTTGCCTGCAGAGCAGCTTTTGCCTCCAGGGAAAATGTGGCCTGCTGGGGAAGGCCCTGCTCACCCAGTTCATTCTCCAGGTCAGTTCTGAGGAGCTGAATATCACGCCGTGTGGACTCCTGCTCATTCTGGAAAGCTTCCTGCAGAATCTGAATTTTTTGGTAGAGGTGCTGGTGGTTCTTCAGCCAAACAGTTTCCAGGGAGTCCACTCTCCTTCCTGTGAAAAAAGACTGGTGTCACAGAAATAATTATTTTTCCTCCCCTGAGGCAAGGTCTTTTGCTCCACTAGTGGCACAGGCCTTTCCCCCTAGAAAAGGCAAGAAGACGCTGTTCTTTCACCACCTTCAAGGACAAGGGAGAGAAGAGAGACCTTGACACCTCCAGTTGCCATCTCAGCAATCAAATGTGTTCCACTGGCATGGGACATAAAAGCTGCTCCCAAGGAGATTCTGTACAAGGCACACACTCCAAGGACTAACTAACAAGTCAGTTTGATTGTGGAACTTTAAAACCAGCACTGTTCCGGTGCTGAATCTTGCAATAACTCCCATGAACTCTCTACCAGAACTCTTCCACTGGAACAGTTTGGTTTTTTTAAAACCAGCACAGTTTGATTGTGGAACAGTGATTGCTTCCAAAAAGATAAAGGCCTAATGGGGAATGGCCCTGCTTATCTAGGTTTTTTTTTCCTTTTTCTTTCTTTATACAGGGAGTGCACAAGAAATTCAATTCATTTCCGTGTCTGTGTTTGTGTTTCTCTCTGTGTGTCTTTGTCCCTGTATGTGTCTGTCTGTGTTTGTGTATCTGTCTCTGTGTGTCTCTGTGTGTGTCTGTGTGTCCATGTGTGTCTGTCTGTGTGTGTGTGTGTTTGGAGGTGGGTCAGGCCTTTCTTTCAGGTAAGACAGTGCCCTGCCACTAGATCCCTCGATTGACCGAGCTGTCAATCAGTCAAACAGCACGGGGAATTTCCTGCTCAGCCTCTCATTGGCTGAGGTTCCAGAAATCCCATCTGGGAGCTGGGCTCACAAGTGACAAGGGATTAAAAGGGACAACCATCCAATACCAAACTGTCTGGCCCTGCTGGCTTTTTTGGGGTTCTGGTCTTACTCACGCCACAACCCAATGAGGTGGTAGCTATGTCTGTGTTTTTTATATATCTTTTCTGTCTTTAGCTCTGCCTTCTCCTAATTCTCTTTCCATGGAACTTTGTGGGTAACTTCACATCTTAAGGATTTTAAAGTTTCTAGGTTAAATGGGCTAAGTTAATGAAGTTACTACCAAATTAATGCTAAGTAATGCTATTATAAGTGGTTACGTGTTGAATTTCATGTTGTATTTAATCCTTTTGCCAAAGCTTGCTTAATCTTCTATATTTTTGCAGTAAACTTTTGTGTGATTTTCAGCTCTTGAGAATATCTGGTGGGGATTTATTTCTCCATTTTGCTAGCCATAATCAAGGAACCTTGAGTTTAACCCCTGGATTTAAGTATCCAGGGTGTAATAATGGGTCTCCAAAGTCTGCCTGGAGCCTTCTCTGCTTCCATTGTTTGTCATAAGTACTATAGGCAATGAATATGGACCATCCTGGATACACCAGGTGGGTGGTCCTGATGCAGCAAAACAACTGACAAGACACCAATCCTCCTGCTCTGGAAGACATCTAGGACAGCTAGAACACACAGTCATGGATAAAATTAACTCACCAGACATCTTGGTGGGATGGCTATTGACTATGGAGATGATACCTATGTTTGTATACTTATGTATATGAGCATACTTCACATATATATGTGAATGCTTATGTACATATGTTGGAGGGTGTAGGACGTTCAAATGAGTAGATGGTATAGATTAAGTGGTGGAAAATGTCCTGGTTCAGGCCAGATCAGGGTTAATTTTTGCAGTGGCTCAGAAAGGGATATGACCAGGACCCTAATGTGATTTGTTACAAACTCACATCATTGGCATGGGTTGGGGGGAGTGGAAAGGGACACTGTCTCTCCTGGGGAAAAGGGGTTCCTTCTGGTCAAGAAGAAAGGGCAAGGAGAGAAGTCATCCTGTATTTGTTTATTGTCATGGGGTCCTTGATGTGGATTTTGCATATGAATGGCTCTCTTTTTACTCTCTTTTACTAATGGCTTTCATTATTAATATTGTTCTTGTTATTGGGGTTTTTTTTTCCCTTATCTCATTGCTGATTCCAGTAAATTGTTCTTATCTAAAACAATGATCTTCGCCCTTTGTGCCTCCAGTTCTCAACTCCATCCTGTTTCAGCAGAAGAGAGAAGGAACAGGGCACTGAGAGTACGGTGTGTCGTTAGGGAGCCTCGGTGAGAGCAGTGAACTGGGGAGTTCCACTCCTAAACCACCACACAGGCAGAAATGGAGATGAGGCTGGAGGCACAGAGCTTGAAGGAGGCAGCTGGTGTGAGGCCAGTAGAGCTTTTGGGGAGCAGCCAGCCCTGCCTTGCCGTGAGCAGTGAGGTGCTGGTGTGGGCCCTTGGCCATGACACTCTGCCTCAGGCTCCCGAGGCTTGGCAGGGCCCTGCTCCAGCTCCACCCAGGGAGGAAAACCAAGTCCACAGAAGCCCCGAGAAAGGGCTGAACGTGGCTGTGCCCTCAGACACCACAGAGCTGGAACAGCTGGCAGGGGACTGAGGGAGCGAGACCTCTCGCCAGCCATGGCTGCAGAGGCAGAGATCTCTGGGCAGGCCCTTGCCAAGGTGGGAGGCACCACTGACACTTCTAGGAAAAAAGGTCCACATCTGATGGATGAGCTCCACTGGAAGCATTGGGAAGAATGAGAGCAATGGAGGCAGAGGAAGGGACCCTTCTAATTCACCCCAGGAAAGGTACCCCAATCCCATCCTCCTTCCTTCTCTTGCCTGTAGATACCATGGTCCACCCAAGCTCTCAGCTGCATGTGGAGGCATCTCCCTTCTGCCTCTGGATGACAGATGGCAAAATTCCGCCTGCAGGAGAACTCAGATTTAAGCTGAGTGGAAGTTAATGCATCTGAGAGCCAGAAGTAGACTCTACATGATATTTCATCCTATTTGTCAGAGAGCAGTCTTACAAGAGGCTGGGAAATTACACCCTGCAGCCTCACTTCTAAGAGTGTGAGGTCCTCTGAACCAAGAGGCCTTACCTTGAAATACCAGAACAGCACCAGCAGCCAGTGTGAGAAGGAATAAAGTGAGCTGTATCCAGGAGGCAGGGACCCACTGAGATGCACCTGAAAAAACAGAACCTTTGTGGGGAAAAAAAAAATCAAAAATTCCTTTGGGGGAAAAAAAAAAAAAAAAACACCCAAAGAGATTTTGTGGAGATAAATGGAGAAATAGTCACAGTCCTACACAGGTGGTCAGAGGCTGCCTTCCCTCAGGATGTGCACATCCCTAGGGGAAAGAGGGATCCTGCTCATTTCACACTGCAGTCTGTCCTGCCTGCAGTGCCCCGTGGTGCTCTGGGATGGGTCTGGCTGGACTGGAGAGCTGTCGCCTTTCCTGGCACTGGAAAGGGCCTCACAGGGCTCCTGAGACAGTGAGCCTCCAGCAGAGACTTCTGGGGACAATGGAACTCACCTGAAATGTGCACAGTAGTTTTCTTCTCCACCTGCACCAGCAGTTCAGGATTTGACAGGTGAGGAATCCCACTTGCTCTCCTGTAACTGTAACTGGACTACACACACTGAAGAACCTCTCACTGTCCTGGTTACTTTCAGTGTCTGCAGAGAGCCCCTGCCCATCCTCAGTAACCCCTGCATGACAGCTTCTGGAAACCGTCTGTGTGATCTGCAGCCAAGCTCTAGCCCTCATTTCTAGCTCTAGCAGAGCTGGACAGGGCACAGCTATCTTGGCTTAGGCGTTCCCTGACTTCACCAGGGGAGAAAACCTCTGACTTCAAATGGCTGAATTCCCCAAGACCAGAGGGGCAGGGTAGCTCTGGATCATGTGGAGTTCAAATCAGGGCTGCTCAGGAGACCATGACCCTCAGCTGCAAGTCTTCTGATCATCTGCAGGCTGGAATCCCCCAGAAAGGAGCAGAACAGCTCATGGAAGCATTACCTGAGAAAGGGATAACCAGAAGCAGTGCCAGAGCCAACAGGAGCCATCTCCTCTGCTCCATCCCTGCAGTCCCAGGGGTGGGATGATCCCACAGCTGACCTGGAAGAGGCACAGAAGGGAAG